TCCGAGGGCCCGGTGGAAGCTGGCTGGGGGACGGCAGGCGTCGTCTTGCGAAGGGCCAGCAGTGGATCCCGACTGAGACGAACTGGACTTAGCTGTGGATGTGGCTAACCCCGTCGTAGGAGCAGCAATTGTTGTGAATCCAGTTGACACCACTGCCTGGGACGACGGCGCGACCGTGGATCCGGTCTTGGACGCCGATCCCGACTTTGATACAGCGACGGATCCAGCCTTGGCAGTCGATCCGGACTTGGACGCCGTGGATCCCGCCTTGGCAGTCGATCCGGATTTGGATGCCGTAAATCCCGTTTTGGATGCAGCAACGGATCCAGTTTTGGACGCCGTGGATCCAGTCTTGGACGTCGTGGTTCCAGTCTTGGGTCCAGATTCAGATTTCGACGCAGCAGTCGTAGGTCCAGCCTTGGATCCCACTCCCGCTGTGGACGCAGCTACAGATCCAGTCTTAGACACTGATGCCGACTTGGATGTAGTGGTGGATCCGGACTTGGATCCAGCACCAGACTTCGAGGGGGAGGCGGAAGGCTTGGACGTGGATCCCGCCTTGGACGCGGATGTGGATCCCGCCTTGGACGCGGATGTGGATCCCGCCTGCGAGGCCGCCTTAGAGGCCGAAATCGTTTTGGGCTTGGATTTTGGGAAGGCTCGGGCGTGCTTGTGAGGACGGGGGGGGGGGGCAGTGCTAGGAGCAGGAGACGCACTGCGCGGTCGTTTCGCAGCCGACGGATCTGCCCCGCTTACAGACGGTAGAGGAGCAGAAACGCTGGCAGCAGGAGAGGGCCCAGATAGGGGAGGAAGTGGATCCGAGACAGCAGCTGTCACCAGCGCCAGTCGTCGGTGTGCCAAATCCCGCTCCGATAAGCGACGATCGCGCTCCAGAACTAGCTGTTGCTGCTGAACATGAGCTGCAGTGAGTTGATCCCGGAGTTTTGCTGCGGCTGCATCAGCATCTTTCAATTTGTCACCTGGATTGACATAACAGGTAAATATGGGGTTACTAGCAAGGGCCAAAAGAGGATCCACGTACTCGTGCGGCGAAGCTTGGATTCCAGCTCCGTTTGCGTTCGCTTGGCATCAGCCCACTCAGTAGCCGCCTTGCCCCGCTGGAGTTCGCTGTCCGCCAACTTCGCTTGGATCTCGTCGCGCAATTGAGTTATACGTACGAACTCTTCGAGCGCGTAATCTCGCCCAGCAGACGCTTTCTCGAGCGACTCCTTGATATTTTTCAGCTCCTCAGAGAGTCGAGCCAGAGCTACATCCGGCGACGAGGGAGGTGGATTTGGCGCGGGGGACCCTCCACGCGCCGACCCTAATGCGGATCCGCCATGGGTGGATCCCACATAGTCGTTGGTTACCACCTCTTCTTGGGTCAGGCGCAACTCGTCACGGAGTCGATCCAAGCTCTCGTCCGCGGCTGCCCTAGCAGTCTGGGAATCCTCCCGATCCCGCTCGATGTCGTGGATCCGGGATTGGAGCTGGTGGATCTCAGATCCGGCGTGCGCCATCTCCCTAAGGAGGTGGTCGTTGTCATCTCGCATACCATCTCGCTGACGGGAGGCGCGATCCAGCCGTCCGGTCAGGTCGCGGATCTCGACCGCTTGATCGGACAACAAGAGTCGTAGGTCCTGCGAACGAGAGGCCGCACGGTGCTCCCACCCCTGGATCTCCATAGCCTGGTCATGGACCTGGGCTCGCAAGGTTTGGAGTTGGGTGGCGTGCAAAGACGCAGCTTGGTCGCTAACATCTTGGGCCGTCTGGAGCTCTGCCGTCAAGGTTTGCACCCGATCGGAAAGAGCTTGGGCCAGAGTACGCAGATCGGTGGGCGACATTGAAGAGGGGCTGACCGGAGGAGTGGTGGATGGAGCCTTGCCCGGCGTTTGGGTGGTACGCTTGGCGGGAGACATGTGTCACGAAGGGGAGAAGGCGGTTGTGGATGCTGGTAGTGCACGTCGTGAACGCTGTTTGTGCAGCGCCGACCACGTACAGGGAGGCGATTGTGGTGAAGTGCTTTCTCAGAAATAAGAGAATGGACCTGACGCGGGGTCACTAATTCGAATCAGTGATAATTTCAAGTGATTAGAGAGGATTTGGATTGTCTGGCACGGATGCAAGTTGCCTGTGGTGGATTAGCCATGACGAGCAGCACCCCGTATGAAATAACGGTGGATCTAGTATGAGTGATGTACGGGAAGGCAAGATCCACCAAGACCTATCTCGGATCCACCCTTACCTGGACTCACTTAGATGGATATGGGACATACTATATACGGGTGGATCGAGTGTGGATCCTATGAAGGAAAGATGGTAGGTGCCATCTGAAGGTGGATCTAGTAACGACGGCTAACAAGAAGTCAAGATCCACCGCGAGGTGTCCCGGAACCCATACTTCCGAGTTCGGATCCAAGGAGGGAGGATCCCGCATAGGACGACCTGGATCCGGGATACAGGGGTGATGGCAGTGTTGACATTTTTACATTTACATTTTTACGTTAAAAGTGTTTTATGCGCTAAATTAAAACATTTTTACAGAGGGATCTTGCATTGTTGACGTAAAAAAGAGCTAAGCCTACTTCAACCGACCGGGACTGCCCCGAGCTTGATTCACAACAAAAGAATCCCCACCGTACGCATTCACACCGCCGCCGCCGATCTACTTCCACCCTCATGGAGCTCCTACCCGGGCTGCAAGATGACGGGTCCAAACGTGGACGCCCACCAGGTCCTCTTGGCATGAACTTTTACCGGCTCAATGAGAAATGCAATAAATCGATGTGGTGGACTGTGTGCAAGTATTGTTACGCCGCCCATGTAAGTGCTAAATCAACCATTCCTTTTCCTACCCACATCCGATGGCGAAAGGAAAGTTGGGAGAAGCACTTGGACGAGTGCTTGTACTACGCTCGCGTTACAAGGAAGCCGGCTCAAAGTGATGAAAATCAAGCTGAAACGGATGAACATGCACGCGCCTACAAGCACCAACGTACTTCACCCCCGGCATTCACACCTATTGAAATTATGCTGTTTTGGCGTCTTTTACTGGAATTTCAGGCGGAAGCACTGCTTTCAGACTCTTTCGTGCAGCTTCGTTCCTTCCGACGCCTGCTCGTCTTTTTGAATGCTCGCTGCGGGCTTCCAGGCGCCGTGCCACATCGCCATATCATTGGTGGTCGTGTTCTGGACGAGTGTGCAGAGCAACATTCAATTGAGCAACGGGAAAACGTTAGAGCCGTCCAAAGTGGTGGGAGAGTAAACTTTCTTTCAGATGTGTGGGAAACGATAGCGAAGCAGCATGTACTGGGCTGCATGGTTACCCTATTTGGCTGTGTAATGAACTATGGTTTACGACCGACTGGTGATCGCCATGACGGCCTTGCGATTGCGGAGCAAATGGAAGAGGTTATCGAGGAGCTGCTTGCGTCGGGCTGAAACGTGGGTGCTGTTGTTACCGATAATGCAGGTCAATGTGGACGAGCTCGTCGTATTTTGGCTCTTCGCTATCCGAAGTTTGCTTACATCCATTGTTTTGCTCATGACATCAACTATCTCGTCAAAGCTGTCCTCAAAACAGTTTTCCAGCAGATTTCAGCAGACGCCGCAGGTGTGGCTAGTTTTCTTAATACTTCAACTTTAAAGTGGTTAGTTCGTGCGATGAAAGCTATGCATAAGCGCTACGGAGCTAGTCTTGCTATTTTTACGCTTTGTGAGACTCGGTGGAACTCCATGCAGGCATGTTTTGCCTCTCTCCTTCGTGCACGAGGAGCTCTGGAAGATATGGTCTTCTCGTATCGGAACAGCAATGAAATGCCAGAAAAGCTTCGTGTCTTAGGAGAAAATGAGTTATGGACTAAACTGAAGACGGCCGAGAAGATCGTTCGGCCATTATGCACCGCTTCATTTCGTTTGCAGAGAGATGAAAACACCGTAGCTGATGTTGTTACTTCCTACATGGAGATTTATCGAGGCTTTGCCTCTACCGAGTTCAGCGACTCACTAGTTAACCTTGTTGAAACCCGCTGGAATGCTTGTGAGCAGCCATTGTTTATCTTGGGATTTTTTCTTCATCCTGGATATGTAGAGCAAGCACGGCAATTGCCTTCGACCGTCCTCACAACGCTTGATGACGTGTGTCAGTTTGCACAGTATTACTATCGTCGATTTCTTGATGGCGATGACAGCGGGCTGCGCGGTGAAATGTTCAGCTGGCTTGAAGGGAGTTACTCCACATCTCGCGATGTCGACTCCAAAGAGGACTCAGTGGTCACGTTCTGGAAGTATGAAAGGAAAGCAAAATAAGACAGCAAGTTGCCAGTGCTTGCACTTACGATTTTGTCAATAGCCGTGAACACGGCAACTTGCGAACGTCTCTTCAGTGAACTTGCTCTCATACTCACTCCGAAACGGAACCGCATGAGCATTCAGAAAACTGCAAAACACCAGATCATGCGTCAGTTTGTCCGCGAAAAAAATCGCCTAGAGAAAGTAACACCGACAAACGTCAAGAAGCTATTACGTACGATAGACCCACGCGAACGACCGTGCATCGCTACGCCGCAGAATTCAGCCCGCTCCACTCCAGCTCGTACGACTCCTGCTCGAACGACCGCAACTCGTACGACTCCTGCTCGAACGACCGCAGCTCGTACAACTCCTGCTCGAACGACTGCAGCTCGTACGACTCCTGCTCGTATGACTCCAGCAAATCCGACACGTACACCAGCGGAAACCCCAAGTCATGAGCCTCGAGGTACATTCGCTACTCCTGACCGACACATTCAAGAGCAACTTCAGTCAGCACTACTCGCGAGAGTCCTTTTTACCGAGCAGCAAGACGTTGGAGCAGTTGTAACGCGTTGCCTGGGAGAGCAAGAAGTTTCGCCAATGCCCCAAGATCCTGCGGTCATTGGGTCTGCTCCGTTAGATCCTCGCAGCTACTTCGGCACATCATTCCTGGAGAGTGAGGCCGTTGATACTTTGTCATCTGAATTCGATACTATTGCTATCAGCGAGCAGCAAATGGAGCAGTATCTGGAGCAGTTTGACTGGGAAGAAATCGGAGAGTATGGTGACGAAGACACTGTTGATATGTGGAACATTATCTTGAGCCCTCCATGCAATAGCACCAGTGTTACCAGCAATCAAAATGGCAGCGAAGCCGGTTTTGACTCCGATACAAGTGCCGGAGATGGCGTTACCAACCCCGGTGCGGTTTCCCAGGAGAGCGCAAATGACACCAACACCAACGCTGATACTGGCTTACATCTTACAACGGAACGGCTGGGGTCGTGTGGAGAATCAATTCCAGTGGCAAACAAGCAACCGTACCCTTCTGAAAATGATCCCTTGTTTCCACAAGAAAAATTCCTGACTGGGATCCGAGCACGAAAGACCAGTCTGGCGTCGCTGGTTGGCAATCTGCAGTAACTTGATGGTGTTGCGTGATGGAAGCGAAGCCGCTAAACATCTAGCCGAGATCAATGTAGGCTTTCCTTCAGCACACTGGATCGAAGAGTCAAAACCGAATAATTGTAAATATCGTTCACCACGTAAAACGCGCATTTGCAATTCATCTTCATCATCATTTCCACTTTCGTCACTACTTCCGTTGCTATCAGAGTGAACCATTTCAATGTCTCAAGTGCTAGTCGAAATTTCGGCTGGAAGCCGGATAATCTTTGAGGTGGTGGAGTGGATAATGGTGACGATACAGCACTCAATGCACTTGTAACAAGGCCGGCACCTGGATCTTGTGGTTCACACAAGCCCTTCCTCCATCGCTCCTCCAGCTTCTCCATTGTGCATTCAAATACGGGCTTGTTAAGCTTGCGGTTCACAACGTTGTGCTGCTCACAGAGCCACATGGAGAAAGTCGTACGCGACTCCACCCTGTCAACACAACACGCACATTCCAATCAAGGACGACAGAAGAGCAGACCGCACACACGACAATGGTGGCGACGCGGCTTGGGGAAATCCGAACGGCGCCTTGCAGTCCATGAACTCGTTGCTGAAGTTGTCGGGCACCCTGAGCTTCTCCAGGCCGGCGACGTCGGACGGGACGCCGTCCAGCGATCCACGACCGCTGTTCTCATTCATGCGGCCTTCGCTCTGCGTGCGCGGGGCGGCGGTGGTCGGGGTGGGCTTAGCCGGTTGCTGCGAGCGGCGTTCCTGCGCGGGGAGCGAATTGCCGCTGGACGGGGCCGTCGACTGGCCACTGGTGGGTGGGCGGCCACCAGACTGCGGTGCAGCGACTTGGTGGCAGCGGGCTTCGCCTCAGGCGTTTTAGCCGGTGCTGGGGCCGCCTGCTTGGGTGCGGTTTGCTTCGGAGTCGCCTGCTTCTGAGACGCCTGCTTGGGTGCTGCCTGCTTCAGGGCGGCGGGGGCGGCCGGCTTGGCCTCGGGTTTCTTGGCTGGCGCCGCAGGGGCAGGCGCTGGGACGGCCGTGGTCATCTGAGATATTTTTCCTTTTTCACGTTTGAAAATCTACTTTTTACATTTTTACAGAGGCTTTCACTTAATTAAAGTAAAAAGCCCCGTAAAGAGCCAACACTGGTGATGGAGGTAGTGGATCTCGAACTTTCGTGGGACCATGGAGATCACAGACGGTTGCAAGATGATGTTGGATGATTGGAGAGCTCAGATCCACGACGAGTGTACACTTACAGTGAAGTGGATCCAAGCGACCTGGATCCGGATGAGTGTACCCATAATAGGGTGACCATAATGTTTACGCCATGGATCCGGTGGATCTGAAGATAATACAGCTGGGATGATGGGTCAAGGAAAGAAGGGACATGCAGCCGAGCCTGGTAAGGGATTTAACAAGTGAAAGACATAGAAGGTAGAAATCCAGGCAGGTATAGGCTTAAGTATCAATACAGACTTCTATTTGCACAGTAACACGCAAGTGCCTTCCTGTCCTCAAGAACCGGAACTACATTGGCCGTACGAGCTCGGAGAAGGTTGGGAATTGCGAATCTAGTGTTGGTAGTGATAACTGGATAATACATTGGCCAGATCCTACAACCTAGTGAGCTTTTCCTTTACTTGTGCAGATCCAACAGGCTAACCGAATTTACTACTTGGTCGGTTACACCCTAGAGGCTCTCAACTCTCAAAATCCCGTCACAGGAAGCGGCAAGTACAACGCAAAGGAAAACGCGAAGGCAAGGGAACACACCCGCAAGGAAACCCTACGGCCAGATCTACGATCTAGGCCCCGGATACATAAGCTCGACAATTCGCTTAGGATTCGGAACCATCCACGGACGCAGAGTAAAGATTTTCCACTGCTGCTCCACCCATCCCCACGTCTCGCCAATACACTCAAGCTTCACCACTTGAACTCTTCGGAAGTTACCAAGAGAGCAAGATCCCGCTCTACCGATGGGCACACAAGATGAGGAAAGTTCAGCAGAATACGGATCATCGGGGGACCCCCTCCGTTAGTCGGTGTCTGGGCGCAGTTGGTAAGTTGGATCCAGCAATCTCGCAGATTTTGCTGATCCCGCTACACCACATCAGCCTTCGCGTGGCCTTTCATAGTTTGTATTAAACCCAAGCTTTATCTACCAATAAATATACTCAGCTTACATTCTACCTTAAATAGGTCACTTCGCTCTCTTTTGATAAAGAGGGGACCTGCGAACTGCCGTTCACTGAGAGTTTGTATACTCTCGGAAGCTAACTTTCTCTAGCGCAAGGTGCTGTGTGACCCCGTCACAAAGCCTCTGGCCAAGCATCGTCTGAAGGAGCTTACTAGTGATTTTGGGAATTGGTGCTCAGTAAACATCCATCGCGTCAAATTATGCAAGGAGATCGAAGCTTTTGCCTCGATGGGGCCGTGTTGGATTGCATATCAAAACCCGTGGACACTTTGCTGCACTCTCTTGGCAATACTGTCCCGAAAACCGGACTTTTATTACTTTAAATATAAAGGCTAGTCTTTGTTCTATCCGCGTATGAGTCAGTCAAATATGTCACTAATAACATATCAAAATGATCATTTTGTCCTGATATCACTGAGTTGGGTTATGGGCGGATTGCAAATTTTAATCACAGACACAGGTGTTTGATTTGTTATAATATACACTTTGAATTCCCTACAAATATAAAGTCACTTCCGAGCGTCTGATAGTTGTGTAGGCCGCATCAAAATCCATTTTTGTAAAGGAATCTACTTAAGTACGATATGGAGAAAATTTGTAAGCGAGTGATTATTTTGACCAAAACGGCATTATTAATAGTCGTTCTCTTGCTATGATATGATGCTTCGCGGGGGATTAAGGTACTTTTGCGAGGTGAAGGGCGAGGTGCGGCGCGGCGTTGGCTCTCGATTAAAAGTCGGTTTACTTGTGGCGCGGTCTCTGTCCTCTTTGGCCCCTATCAGCAGCAACGACCGCGTGTACTCTTTCAAGTCTTTACCTCAAGCCTCCGCTGGAGCTGCCGTCAGTGTTTCGTTGCGCCGTGTACTCGTCTTACCACAGACATCTGCATTTGGTGTGAGGCGCAGTGCTAACTACCGCCTCTGGTCCAGTGGCAGGATGTCTCAAGACTCGAAAGAGACGGCACCACTCATGGGAGAGGCGAAGTCGTCATCATCCCTAGCCCAGGTACGAATTCCCATCTGCTAGTCAGACTTGAGGAGACTGCCACCGGTCCAACATACTATTAACCTCTGTATGGTTGTTGTAATTATGCCATCACTACTGCAGAGCGATGAGAAACCCGAAAAGGAACTGGGGCAGCCCACAGAGGAATTTCAACGGACGTGGCGCCAGCGAGCCAAAACTTTTGTCATCGAGTATGGCCGAGTGGGTATCTGCACACACATTGTACTGTCGGTTCTGTCGTTCTCTGTCATCTATGTGGGCGTCTCGGGCGGTGTGGATGTGTCTGCGATTATGGACTCCGTGGGTTTATCCACGTTAGCAAGCGACTCAACATCCAACTCGGCCGGATCTCTCCTCATCGCCTACACGCTTTACAAGGTGTTGGCCCCCGTCCGTTGGCCGCTTACATTTGCTGTCACTCCAGTAGTTTTACGGGCACTGAGACGCAGAGGGTATATGCCAGCAGCGACCAACTCGTCGCCGCCTCCAACCGTGTGACTTGATTGAATGCCTACAATAGCAGTTCAAATTTCAGCGACGGCTGCATCCTGAAACTTTCTCACTGCGAATATGCAACAAAGATGGATGTACTTACATCGCTTGTTAGATTTTCAATCTGATTTATTTTCAAATGGCTTCGAAAACTTCCTTATTGGTCCGACGACAGCTTGCAGACGCACTTAGCTCGTCTGCTGCACGTGCTCTTCGAATACGGGGCGAGCCGCCTTGATGTTCAGATGAATTGTCGCCGGTTCTACGGTAGTCGACCAAAGGCCATCATAGTCAGTTTACAAAGACAACGACACAGTTTTAAAACCACTCACGAATCGAGTCGTCGGACATGATGATCATGATGTACGTGTTGGCGGTGAAGAAATCGATGAAGGCCGTGAAGTTCGAGTTGCGCACCTCCATGCCCTGGAACTGCGCCTGGGTCTTGCTACAGCTCAATTTGAACTGCTTAATGATGTTGCTGATCTTTTCGAAGCGATGGATGTCGCGGTGGTTTGTATGCGTGGCGTGCGAGATCACAAGGAAAGTAGCACGTTCAAATAGCACCACCTCATCGGCGCTGCAGATAGAGCAGAAGCTATTCAGGTGTTTCTCCAGATCTTGCATGTTCGGGATCAACGAGTACACAATGGACGACCAAGCACGATACAGCGTTTCGTCCCAGATTGAGGTGCCAAAGCACACTGTCGGCAGCTGACCCGTGCGCTCCAAAATCATCTCCTTCTTCTGGTTAAACACCTGCGGATATCAACGAAGAAACTCAGCCCATACTCGGCTTAAATATAGCGATAGTTGCTTAGCCTACACGCTCACGCTGGTCCTCGGGCACGAGATCCATCTTGTGGATCAGCACAAACACCTTCGCATTGCTCGAGTTCTGGTCGATAGCTTCCAGACAGCCGTCGAAGTGGGCCATATCTTTCTGAAAAAAAGCCAAAATATAATTCACACTAGAATCAGCATCACCTTGCTCACCGACTTGCCATCAATTCAGCATACGTCGATCTCGCGACTCTCAATATCGAAAACATAGATCAGCAGCTCAACGCTTCGGAAAATGTGGTCCCGCTGGCTCTCGAAGTAGTTCTCGTAAAAAGCATCCTGGCTGAATAGAACAAGCATATTAGCTCCAACTTCAATTGTATCACCTGCAGAGCTTTCTCTTGCTGCCATACCCGCCGCAGTCCCACAGGTTCAACACCAAGTTGCCCAGGAAACGCACGTGCGAGTGTTCTACGTCCACTACAGCAGTAAAAGCCCTGTTATTCTCCTCGTATTAAAGCTGAGTGTGTTATCGATCCCTTACACGTGGGTCCCAGTCGCATCGTGTCGCGTGCTAATTGATTGATCCGCAGTAGGGAACACAGCGTCAGCATGATACATGTGAAGCCGCTGTTAGAGGCAATGAATCTGGTACCCAAATAGTTGGCGAAGATAATGGAGCGCATGGACGTCTTGCCCGAGCCGGACTTGCCCATCAGCAGAATCTACGCATGCCACACAGACCCCTTTACTTAGTAGCCTATCCGCAACATCTTCTAGACGCACCCCCACGACTCACTTTCTTCTTCATGGCTGCTAAGCAGTCGCTGCTTGTGTGCTTCTTCGTCGAAGATTCTAAATGTAGATTATAAGTGCATAAAAGCAAAATCTAGCAATTATCACTGTCCTAAATCCTAAATGAAGATCAGAACGATTTTATAATTTAGAGCGAGGTGCAGATGGCTCAGCGACGGTTCATAACTGAGTTCATATCATTGGCAGCTCTAGCACATATTCGTTTCAGTCATGTCGTTTCAATACAAATGCAAAGTTAAAATAATATGAGTGATATACGAAACAACAGATTGATATAACAGAGATAAATCAGTGATATTTCAGTGATAAGGATATGTTTGCTTGTGTACACTGCTAATGTCTTCAGCGTCAGCTCCTCGCAGCATATCTTGATTGTGTCGAAGAAGGAGTTGTTTTTCATCGCGCGAGCTCTCTGTCCTGGTGCGTAGCGGCCCCATAACAATCCCCGCTATGCAAAAAAACTTTATCTGGGTAAGCAGATGAAGATACCTTGCCGATCCTGAGCTGCAATCGAGGCAAAATGCTTCTGCCCACTCTCCCAAACGCTTTGCAGCCGTCACCGAGCTTTCGGTGAGCTTTGACGACGAGGCGGACATCGGTCCTGACGCCCACGATTATGACGATTATGAAAACAAGACGCCGGCTCCAGAGCCAGGCGCAGCGTCACCAGAGACGGCCACGCTATCATCGGGGCTGAGTGGAGCGACCAGGTCCCTTTCGAGGAACTCGCCGACGAGCTAGACGACGTTGCGGGACCAGAACCGGTCTATGAAGACTATGACGATGGGACCGAGGGTTCTAAACCTTCAGTGGCGAGTGCAAAGCATTCAGCATTGCTGAAAGCACCTCGCCCATCTATCAACGGTGATACACCAGCCGCCAAGCGCGTTTTCGACCGCGTACAAGCGCTGATGCAGTATGATGAGTGGATGCAGCTTGATAAGCCCATCCCCAAGAGAAAGGCCGACAGGCGCGCACTTGCGCAGGAGCTTCAATACCCAGTCAACTCGGTGTCGACTAGCCAAGTTGCCGAGGATTCAGTCTCGCTACTGTTGTCGCTGGGCTTCGAGAATGAGACGTACCCATCGACGATGTCGCTCCAAGATTGGAGTCCCCATGAAGCCGGAGCTGCTCTCCAGAAATGGAAGAAGAAGCTTCGGAAGGCGTTTGGCGCTGTTAACATCAACGCTGGAAAGCAGTCTGTGAGTCGACCGATCGCTCAAGATGAAGATCCGTCCACAATTCCGCTGCCGCAGACACCCCAACGACTCGACCGTACTCCTCCGACCAAGCGTGGAGCTGAACGTGGTGCCTTTGGCACTACCGAAGCTTCACCGTACTTTCAGGACTCGCACATGGTTACGCCACGTTCGGAGAGCCGCATGCAACGTGTGTACGCTGGTAACGATGGTTCGTTCGGTCGCCGGGGCGGTGCGCGAGCTCCCAAAGGTGGTGCCGGACGTCGTCAAGTCGACAGCGATGGTTCGTCCAGTGACGATGACATTTTGGTGCGCACATTCGACGAGAAAGACCCTCAAGCCGAGCTGATGCGTCAGCTGAACGACCCGGACCCGACACCGAGGATTGAAATGGCATCGTACCGACCATTGGAACGCATCAAGCCGTTTTCGGGCTATCGCAACAAGAGCGAGAACTGTATGCAGTGGCTCCGTGGGTTCGTCTACGAAATGAACGGAACCCACACAGATACCGACAAATGGTGCTTTCCATTCGAGCTTAGTCTCCGGGATGGAGCCATTCATTGGTTCCGTCAACTTCCGAAGAAGACGAAGCGCAAGTGGAAGCTGTTGAGCGATGCGTTCATCCGCTATTACTGCTCGCAGTTCACGCAGACGGCACTGTCCCGTTACTACTCTGCAAAGCGGGAGCGTAACGAACATCGGTGCGACTACATAAACAGGATGAATAGATACGCTCGGAACGTCCGTCTGCACATCGAAAAGCGTGGTCGCGACGCGAAAGAACACATACAGCAGTTCTTGGCAACGTGCGATGATGACAAGTTGGCGGAGAGCCTCTACCACACTCGAGTCACCGACAATCACGAGCTCGAAGAGATCATCAAAGATGTTCTCAAGGGCAATGAGAGAATGGCCAAGCGTGACAGTGAGTATCGATACTCCAAGCGTCGTGACACGCGACGCGACGATGGGTACGCCCGCAACAACCGGCGTGATGACCGTCGCCGCGATGACAACTGGAACAAACCAAGAGTGGCGCTCATTGAAGCCACGGTGGATGACCTACTAGCTGAATTGGAGGGTCGTGAAGCTGCGCAGGGGGGCACCAAGTATTCAAACGAAGATTCGAGCGCTTACAACGATGTCCAAGACGAGTATAACGACTTTCAGCCTGATAATACGGATGGTGATTTCTCATTGGATGAAAACGTCGCCGCGGCTAACGAAAATGAGCGCCGTGCAGCTGCTGAAGGCACCTACGCACGTTCAGACAGCCGTCAACCACGTGGAAACACGCCTGATCGCGAGAATGGCTTCAATCAAGATCGCCGAGGTGACCGTGGGTTCAATCAGGACCGACGCGGTCGGCGCGACTTCAACCGCGACAACAGACGCCCACAGTACGGACCATGCGTGGTGTGCGGTGGCATGAGTCACTCCGCCCACTACTGTAACAAGCGATGCAAGTTCTGCAAATAACTCCACGATGCTGGACAATGCGAACTTTTCCGCAACTTCCAAGACCTTGCCAAATTCGTGCGTACGAAAGGCACGAAGGAGGAACTCCACACCAGAGCTCAAGGCCGTCGCTCAAGAACGCCATTTAAACTAGGCAGCCGCCAACTACAACTGAACTGGTCCCTATCGGGCTGCCACAGTTAGCCGAGCCTTCAAAGGAATCAGAGTGTATCTTTGCTTTCATGTGACAGAGTGAATGGCCTGATAATTACGTAACAAGTGTGAACGCGACGGAAAATGAAAAGGAGAGGTGTAGAATTCTCGGTGGAGGTGTTAAAGAGAGAGTGGGGTGTGCTGATGCTGATGAGGGCACCAGCGAGGGTTAGTTCAGCGTGGTTTCGAGTGCAGCGCGAGACGGCCCCAAGGGTCACTCCAAGACGATGAAGTTGAACCCTGGTGAGAGGCAGGGGTGGTCGGCCAAAAACATCGACCGACGGATCAGAATGAGAGCTCTGGTGCAAGGCGCTGTAAACGACAAGCGGACGAGGATTCTCCTCGACACTGGAGCGAACGTTAGTGTGATCACTGACGCCTTTGCTAAGAAGTTGCGGCTCCGAGATGTACCTGATCACGGACGCCCACGGACGCCAAATTGACATTCAAGGAATCCGCGAAGGCAAGGTGTCTACGACGCGACGAGCGTGCGTCAAGATTACGCTCGGATGGGAGATGGTGTACGAATTCGAGATGTGGGCCATGGCGCATAGCGCAGGCGTCGACGTGGAACTCGGGGCCGACTTTATGATCCCAGCTGGGATCCGGTTGGACCTGTTTCACGGCGCGGCGCAATTGCCGCACGAAGTTTAAATCCCACTGATCAAGACCCAAAACATGATCGACAGCGAAGAGTACGGCTCCCATGTTAACACCGGGCCTCCTGAGCGTTTGGACATTCAAGCGCACGAGTGGCGAGAATATCGACTAGCGAAGCGTCAAGTCGAGCTGGAAGAACACGTACTGTCGGTTCGTCGAACGAACAAGCTAATCCCGTCAGTGGCGAGGTTTTGACGTGGACGGCCTCAGAGCATTCGGTTGACCAATGTGTCCGACCAAACTGTGTACCCACCAGCACACATCTCGATCGCGATGTGGATTCCAGATGGGGATCTGCCGCGAGGTGACGGCTATGTGCGTCTGGATTCCAAGAAGTACCAAGACTGGCAAGTGTTGGCCTACGAAGGTTGCAGAGACCGCGAGCTGTTTCAGCGTGAGTGTGAAATCTACGAGCAATGGCTTGCAACTCAGCCTTCGGCAGTCGAGCGACCAGACTAGCCAGAACCCAGTGGGGTGCTAGCAAGACCTCTTGAAGACTCGCTAATGGACTCTAGTGATCAGCTGACATGTGCAGAGCGCTGGGCAGTGATCATGGAGGAACGTGAACGAGTGGAGGTCTGTCTAGCGTCTGGGGTGACAGCCGGGGACTCGGCCGATGGTCAGTCTTCCGAAGAACCTTTGGAAACCTACACGACAGTTCATGGCGGAAGTAATAATGCAAACGAAGCCTCGTATCGTGTACACACAAACTACTGAGCTCGGTAAACGTCGTACATACGCCAACGAGTGCTCGTTTCAAGTCTGGGGTGACAACGGAAGCGACAAGTAACAGCACTGGATTAGATGGAGTCTCCAGTTTTGACGAAGTTGTCCCGGCCTTGTACGCAGCCAAATTTGCGAACGTATCATCGGTGGTTGGTCCAGAGAATGCAGACGTCGCGCTGAAGGTGGTGAATACGGCACCGAGTGCTCGTTGTGAGATTGGTGCGAATGCCGAACTGTCAAGACAGCGGTCATCCGAGGCGTTGAAAAGAAGTCAACAGCCCAATATGTCGGCTGTCTGCGAATTCAATATTGCGAACAAAGACTCGGCAGGTGGCCCAGAGATGGGAAACCAGGCGGAGAAGGAGATGGACCCAGTACCGAGTGTTCAAATCAAAGAGAATGCCGACGTTGAGTCGAGGGAAGAGTCCGTCGCGACTTTGGACGAGACGTATATATCGGTTGCTCGCGTGTTAACAACCGAAGGAAACGAAGCACCGGAGGATACAAGAAGTGATTTCTGCGAGCACCCAGCTAACGACATTGGTCTGGAAGATTACGCAAAGGAGTTGGGCTTCCTGCCAGACCTTACCGAAGAAATCAACACGACAATAGACTACAATGCGCCCAATGTTGCTGATCCCCAGCTGTCGACCGATCACAGAGAACGTCTGATCGCAGTGCTGAAGAACCACGAGAACATCCTGATTGCTAGTGGCAACGCACTGCCGCCGTCAGCATACGGCGCGGTATGCGATATCGACACGCAGGGGCATG